CGGATTGAGAGAGCTGATTCCCTGCATCGCTAGAACTTGCGTGGCAGTCGGTATCGATGGGATCTTCATGGAGGTTAGTAACAATGTAAGTTTTCTAAAGTTACTAGATGTTCTTGCGAACATGCCAGGTCCATGATAATCCTCTCAAGGCACCAGTTGATGCTCCAACACAATGGGTATAATCCTCTCACCTTTTGTTCTTCATCTAAAGGTACTCTATTGTTGCAGCCATTGAGGCACCTCAAAGTTTTGCTCGAGGAGCTAATTTCCATCGCAGTTAAGTGCTCTTGGATTTCAAAAGAAAAAACTAACACATCTGATTTGGTGTAGAGAGTGAGCAAAGGCAAACAGCCATTTCCGATTGATCTTGAGCCAGTGAGAGATGATTTTTCATAACACCAATCTTCTACCAAGTGAAAGCTAAGTTCATTCATCAATTATTTCCCTCGAGTTCCATCCCTTGTCTCTGCCGCACTCATCAACATGGACAGTGTGCAGCCGCGAGGGTCGTCTGTGATCATCTCCCAGTTATCTAGAACACGGTGACAGTACTCACACAACTCTTCCTCCCTCGAGGCTCTTCCATGCGATAGTTCTTCACGATGCTCTTCCGGATCACACCCCTTCTATCTATCAGTGTCCTCTCGGCTCTAGTTCTTCACGATGCTCTTCAGGATCACACCCCTTCTATATCTATCGGCGTCCTCTCGGCTCGCTCCAACCATCGATTACTTCATCGATCATGTCGCCCTCGCCATTGATATCTATGCGGAACATGGCAGCGTTGCCGTGTTTAACAACAGTGTCACATGATTAGTATATTGTTACTTGTGAAAGTAGTTTCATCTGATGATATTAATGATGATAATACGCAAGTGTTTTACAAGTGGCCGCTTAAAACACAAAGCATTTAGACACACGGAAAAAGCTTACAATCTTGCACGTGGCGGGTCACTATGTTCATGGTCGCAAATAAATATGAAAACCCAAGGCCTATTACACCATGCATTAATTTATCATGAACTCAATAATGATATTTTTCTTATCTTCCTGTTTACTTATTTGCTTACATGCAAAACTTGAGCATGTTGAGCACCCAAATGTGCTCCCAGAAGGTTATCCACGAGATGTTGTTTTATCTACACTTGATCAGGTGTTTGATACCATTAACTCTGAGTTAAGTTATCCTTATGGCCGTGCATATGCACTTTTTAATGTAATTGGATCATATCGACTTTTATTGGCTGCATGGTTGCTCAATCCTGTAAATGATGAAGGTTATTGTAGTGGTCAGTATGATGTTTCTAATGGATTATCAGGAGAAGATATTAAAACTGGTTTGTTTCCCATTTATCATGTCTTAAAAGATAAGACACAATGGGGTGGTTATGACGCTATGGTAATTATCAATGCAAATTTTATGCTTCTTTATTATCTTGAATATGGATCAAAGATTCCTACGGTCACAAATATGAACACATCATATATTAAAAATATAACAGGCTTGCAACATGGAAAGGCTAATATCTCCATTTTAGATTTCCAAGATTGTTCAGTTGACAGCTCAAGTATGGTTAGTGGTGAAGACTATTTTGGGTTTGCAAAAATGGTCCCTGGCTCTAAAAAACTTTCAGCTAATAGAAGATTTGAATTTGCTCTTCTCACAATTGTGAACTTATTTTAGT